TTAGACTGTTGCCATTCTTACATGTTGTGGTTATGTAAGCGTGCCGCTGAGTGCATGTGAGCAGATAAGAGAGAAAAGGGAAAGATACAGAATCAAAAATGATCAGATGTTACAAGATGAATGGCTCTCATGAAGGAGAAAACAGTGGGCATGGCTTCTTTCACTTGAATCATTTCCATCTGGTAGCTGAAAGAGGCCTCAGCTCATCCTGAAACCTCTTTCAGCTCCTCTGGTGGTGGGGGAAGGGCCTGGCTGAAGGCCTTTGTTTGCTCTGAAAGCCCAGTCCTCAATAAAAACTGGTTTCTCTAGTTCACACAAGTGCTGTGTGGCATTTGGAAGTCAGTTCTGAGACAGAAAATCTTGCAAAACAAATGCAGAAGTGTAATATTAAACATGAATACTGAATATTCACACTAAGCATCAATTAAAAAAAGGTTGTGAATGAATTTAATTCAAATTTAAGTCAAAACTGTAAAATACTTCTTTTTGCTCTGCAAGGTGGAATGGGTAAATTCAAAGGAAAATCCCTGGAAGTTCAGTTCATTTCTGCTGTATCCACCCATCCTGGAGTGTGTATGTCGCTCCATCCTATCTAAGAGGGGATCTGTGCCGCTCTACACCAGCCAACAGGGGACCCCTGTCGTTCTATACAAACCAAGTGGGGACCTTAAATTTGTAAGGCAAATCAAGGTCCCCACTTGGTTTGTATAGAACGACAGCAGCACCACTTTGAATAGATAAAGACAGAATAGCAAACTGGCCATGGCCAATTGGAGGCGAGGACCAGAACACAGCTATGTAGATGCAAATGCAACCATTCACACAGGTGCTTATAACCTGGGTCCCGTGAGCCTTCCAATCCTTAACCAGTTTTGGTGACTTTGGAAGTGTTGAGCACTTTTCAAATTCTAGGAGGAAGAAAACCAACCTTGAGATTTTTTTACTCTTTTTTGATTTAAGAACGGGTAAGTTCCACACTTTTTTCTTTAATCTTTTTGTGATTTCATCCATGTTGCCATGCTTTTTATTGTCTTTTGTATAAACAGTGATTTTGAATCAAATTGTTTCAAAAATAGTTAACACATATAATATGCTTTTTTTTCCACAGAAAAAATGAGGACCAAAAGACTTTCTCCTGAGAAGGAAGCCTTGTACTTCATCTCTTCAGATCAGGACAAAGCCATATTTCAGGAGACATTTATTAACAAAGACAAAGGTATGTTTTGCTTGAGAATATAACTTTTTCGGTACCACATTTTCTGTTCAAAACCCTCAAGTAGGTTCAATTTTAAAGGACTCCATTTGTGTTACAACACTGAACTGCATATTGCTGCAGTCTGTGCATATAATCTTCATTATGTTTTTTTTTTTTTTTTTATGTAAGGTTTAGCCAGTTCAACATTGTTTGAAAATATTTACTTGCTTTCATGTGAAATGCATATGGAAAGCTAAATTCATTCCTTATGTTTATCAGGTTATGGAGTTTTTGCTACTGAAGACATTGAGCCACAACAATTCCTGCTGGAATATGTTGGAACACACATCACTGGCTCTGAAGGAGAGAACCTGCTTAATGAGTATTCAGAAGTAGATGCAGCATTTTTGTTTTTTTACAAATTTCAAGGAAAAAGCTACTGGTAAGTACAATTGCATGAACCTCCAAACTATGAATCTAAGCCCAGGTGTAATTGTAATTTTGTCCATTTGTTTTTTAGCGTTGATGGTAGTAAAGATACAGCAAGACTTGGAAGATTCATGAATGATGATAACATCAAACCAAACAGCAAAGTTAAAATCGTAAGTATCACAGCCAGAAGTCACTATTTATTAATTTATTAACTGTTTCATTGAAAAAAATTAATTTGTTTTTGTGACTTTGTGACCAACAGGTATTGGACGAGCAAAAAAGACCACATCTGTGTGCATTTGCTATCAGAAAGATACTGGCAGGAGAAGAAGTTGTATTTAACTATGGGGATGATGCGTGCAAATGGCGACAGGTATGTAACTTTTAATTACATAAATTTCTATTTTTTTCACGGCATGTTTTTCCAAATACCATGAATCTTAGAGATTATATCTTCATCTTTGATTTTTACCATGTTGTACATGTGCTATGCAAACCTCCACATATTTCTTTAAACATCTTAAAACTCAAAATGCAAAGTAGAATTTTAAAATACTGTCAATGGTTAAACAAACCGTTGTCATAATTGTGCATAATTAATATAATTTAATCCTGTAATTCTATTTTTTTTTTTAGAAGACTGCTGCATCCTCTTGCAATGAGCAGACGGAAAAGAAGGTAAAGATGCATGGAAGTTTCTTTGTTCAGCTACATTGAGTGAAGAAATTCTAAACATTTTCCTACTAAGTCCAGGTTATAGTGTGCTTGTTCTGTGTATTTGATTGGTTTTCTATTATCATCTAATTGAGATCTCCCCCCCTCCTCAATATTAAAGGAATCCCGATGGAAGAGCTCACTAGAAAATCTCGAGTCTGACCCTGACGTGACGAAAATCGATGGTCTTCTCTTCAATCCAAAAACTAAGATTGCAGATGGATGCAATGGGGCAGAAGTCTTTCCAGGACTCTTTGGCAACTGCCATGTGGCAGTGAAACGAGTTGTTAAACATGTTGCCAACAAAGAAATGGAAATGGCAAAATTACTATGTTCAGAAAAATTAATGGTGAAACATTTGTTGCAGCCCCTTGAAGTGTTGGAAGACTCATGCTTTGCTTATTTTGTCTCCCCTCTTTGTGAGTATAATCTCAGAGACCTTATTGAAAATAAAGATTTTCCTGAGAGACAAAACCTGACTGAGCAGTGGAGACTGGGAATCTGCAAGGAGTTATTGCTGGGATTTCAGGAACTCCACTCACACAGAATTTTGCACAGAGATTTGAAGCTTCAAAACATCTTGTTTGGTAAGTTAAGGTTAATGGGCAAACTGTACTGTACATTTATGTCGTGATAATTATATGACAAATTATATTTAATTTGTCTACAGGTGTAAACAATAAATTGTATATTGGAGACTTTGGGGCAAGCGGAAAACTAGATCCAACAAAATCCACCACTTCTTCACAAATATCTGTAACTTTGTCCTGGTTGAGTTACGAGCAAGCTCAAGAACACAAGTACAAGAAAGAGTCAGAAGTCCAAGTATGTTGACCTTGAAAATACTAATTAAACTGCATATCATGATTCTTTTATTATTATTATTATTATTATTATTATTATTATTATTATTTATTATTGTTATTTTTCATTCTGATTTGGCTAGTTAATTGTCAAGAGTTACTATTAAAAGCTTATGATTACAACTGTGAAAGAGCATTGTTTTAATGTAATTTGTTACATTTTAGATCACTGGATGCTTGATGCATTACATCCTCACAGATGGTCAACATCCCTTTCAACAAACAACACCATACTACAAGAATGCCTTTGGGATATATGAAAATGTCAAAAATGGCAATTTCAATCTTCACTGTAAGGAAAGATGGAGCAGCCAAAGAGATATGATTTCCCGGATGCTGAGTAGATCACTCGAAGAACGTCCCACCATTGAAGAAGCTCTTCAGGCATTCATGTGTGAGTACTATTGCTTTAAATATATTATCTAATCTTATGGGCTGAAAGCACTATCTTATGCAACTCATGACAACTGATTAACTGTATTTACAGGTTTGGCACATCAACCTGATTATTATACTGCAACTGTGGTAATGTGGCCTTTTTGTTAAGTTGTTGCATGTTTTCTAATTTT